AAGATGTGACATTTTCCTTGCCTTTTATTGATGGATAAAAGTCGAAATGCATGTAAAAAGCTGCCGTGCGATGGCAAAAGCGACTGTCAGGTCAGGTCAGAGGTCATCGCGTCAGGTCAGAGGTCATCCGAACGTATACCTATGTTGCCTTTGCACGGCAAGAAGATAATACGGGAAACATTTTACGAAATATCTTAAAGAGCTGGCGACTGTGCTATTGCACGACCGTCTTCGCTATGTCAGTGCCGATCAAAAGTCATCGCGATTTCCTAAAAACATGTTTTTATTATAAATGACCTCAGCTCACCGAAAATGTGAAAAGCACAGTCATGCTGGTGTTGACGAGATTTCGAGCGTCACATGTTTATGTCCCCTGATAGCCCTTACCATAAATTTGCTTTCTAAACGGTCTTAACACGCGCACCGACGGGGGGGGCGGATATCCGCACGGCAAGCCGCCCCCCCTGAGGTTTTTCGCGGATAGCGGGAAAACCGCGGCGCGTAGCGCCGCGAAATTTGGTATGACTATAACCTCATCAATTTTTCACATGGTGTGCAAGTTTAAACCTCCTAACTTTGAAGGTCAGGTCACCAGGTCACTTTGAATGACCCAACCTCAAGTCACTTTTTTGCAACTTTGTCACCGTGCCAGAGCTACAGTAGATGTCGGAGGTCTTTGAAAGTCGCAGGATGTTATTAGGTCATTAGTAGCTACAATTTGTATATCTCGGAATTTTGATGTCGGTGACCTAAGGTCAGGTCAATTTCGCGACCTCCCCATTATAAGTCAATGGGGGAAAAATCAACTCCCTGTTTTTACCACTATTCACTAAAACGGGTCGGAATGGCCCCATATACCATACATGACTTCATATACGATCAACCTTCACTACCTTGAGGTCTGTTTTGCTGTTGGGCAGCTGTAAGGTTATGTGACGTCATCAAAGGTCACCAAAGGTTTTTTGCTAATAACTCCGTACAGGAACAAGATACAGCCGCGCGGATGGTCTCATTGTGTTCAGCTCGTCAAGACGCATCGAATGATATGCATTAGGGTGTGTCATTTTGGGCACTTTTTTCGCAAAACATGGTGCTCCACTGATTTTATCGTGCCCCAGACACGTAGAAACCGTGTGACATTTTTATTTCCCCCAAATATTAACACCCATGCGGCGCCGACCGCCGACACTTTGGCCTATCTCCCAGCATTAGCGACCTCAGCGCCCCTAGCGGCAATGTTTTGAACTAACACGCTCGCTATGCTTTGTGAGCTTACGATCATCATTAAATGCTGGTACCGTAGCTCAGTTGGTTAGAGCGTTGGACTCCGCGTGGTGAGAGCACGCGTTCCCGGTTATGACAGTCCGGGTTCGAAGCGCGACGGGCGCTCGACATTTATGGGCCTCCTGACAGGTATGGTTGCGGTTGGTGGCAGGCCGTAGCCAGGCGAAGTCAGCGAGGGGACCGGCCGTGCGCGGCTTTGTGCGCACGTTAAACTTTGGACTCTAAATTCTGCCATAGAACCTGAATTGCGCGATCGGAGGGTAGAGGGCAGGGTCATCGCAACAAGCTTCGCTTAGCGGTGGCTCTGTCCTTGTGAATCCTTCCCATCAAAAGGTTCGGACGAAATTTATAAAAAAAAATAAAATAAAAAAAAATGCATTTTACCGAAATGACGCCTTGCTGTTGGCTTGTCTGGCACTCAGAATGTTGGTGAAAATGTGATGTTATGCATCTTAAAGCACGAAATAGTTCTGTGTTAATGTATATTGCATAGTACTACCCCCGATCCCCGTCCTGGTCTGACGGGATACGTACGAGCGCATGTTTATAGTGCCTGCTATTAGGTGTCACATGTTTTTTTTTTGTAGCGTCGTTCACTGCATAGACCCCGGGGAACAGGGGGGGGGGGGGGCAGTGGGGGCGCTTGCCCCCCTCTAACTTGAGAGCCGAGTGGGCGCCGCCCCCTCAACATTGATGCAACGATGAAGGATCTCTGCTCCCTTTTATGGACCTACATGTCTGTTTTTATATAAACATCAGCACAAGGTATTTCTCTTGCATGTGAATGGTTTCTGCTGATTCGGCATCGATTTAAGAACACCTGCTATTGTCATCCCACTTTGATTTTATCTGAACTTGATCATAACTTTGGTAGGCCAGATTTTATACTGGACCGGACCATTTTGGTTCCAGATGGTATTTGATTTGGCGTGATGAGAACATTATGACGTACAACGGTGGTAAAGTCGTTGATTGATACAGGTTTACTCGCTCCGGTGGGAGGCAGTAGCGGCGGAACACCTTCAATTAAGTGGAGGGGGGGGGGGGGGACACTGCCGACTTTTGATCCCATTCTTTCCATACAACGCCCATAGGGCTAATGTTAAAATGCCCAAATCAGAGGGGGCACGGTACCCCGGTGCCCTCCCCGTTCCGCCGCCTATGGTGGGAGGGCGGCGTGTGGGACTCAGAAGGAGACTAATGGCTTGTGTTGTGCCTTTGGTAGGACCCTCAGTATCACCGATGCAGGGCCTTCAGAGCCTCCAATTAGGGGCCTTTAGAGGCACTGGTGTGGGGTCCTCACAGACGCCCGTGTGGCCCCTCAGAGGTGCTAGTGTGAATCCCTCATAAGCGCCGGTGAGGGTCCTCACAGAATACAGACGCCGTTGTGGACCCTCAGAGACACTGGTGTGGGTCCGTTACATGTGGGTGTGTGACCCTTAGAGCTGCTGGTGCGAACCCTTTAAAAGTCGGCAGGGGGCCCTCAACGACCGGGGAGGGGGACCTCAGACCGGCAAGGGGCCCACAGAGGCCGGCGGCATTTTCAGAAGCCCTGTGGGGTCCTTACATACCGACAAGGTACTCTCAACTCTGAGACGCCAGTGCGGCCCTCAGTCTCTGGTGTAGGGCCCTCAGAGTTGCAGGTAGGTGGCCGTCAGATATGCTTTTGCCGAACCCTGACAGGCGCAGGTGTGGGTACCTCAGAGCCACCAATATAGGGTTGCATAAATGGTGTGGCACTGGCTTGGGGGACCCTCAGTGGTGTCCTTATGGGCCCTTAGAACCACTGGTGTGGGTCTCTCAAAGGTGCTGGTTGTGAACCCTCAGAGGCCTTGCTGAGGGCCCTCACGGTCTCCGTTATGGGATCCTCAGAAGCCGGCGTAGACCCTGACGGAGATCTTAGTGTGGCTACTTAGGGGCTCATGAGTTGCTCTTACGAGACCTGTGAGGTCTTTCTCAGCTGAAATATAGTCAGCGTGGACCCTCAGAGGTCAATTGGTACCGGAGGGGTCTTTATGGCCGGGTGGGCTCTCAGAAGCACCAGTGAGGGCCCTCAGTCTCACAGTCGTCGTAATGGGGCCGTCAGAGACATTGGTGTGAGGCCATTACTGATTACAGGTTGGCGTAAGGCCCTAGATATGGCCCCTCTTGGGCCGGCAAGGACTCTCAGAGGCACGCTAGCGGCCATAAGAGGCCGGTAAAGGGCCCTCAGAGGCCGCCAGTAGCCTTCAGAAGCCGGCGTGTAACCCTCATGGACAATTTAGTGAGGCTTCTTTGGACTCACGTGGTGCTGTTACGAGCCCTATTCTTTCTGAATCGAAATATGGCCAGCATAGACCCTGAGCGGTAAACTGGTGCCACAGAGCCCCTCCGACCCGAGGGGTCCTCTGAATGCGATAGGGGGGGGGACTAGATGGCACGTGCCTCCTGAGTCCTGGGACCCCCTGACTACGCTACTATTTCATATGCGTCATGTCAGGTATTTTGGGCTTGCACCCCAACTTGAAGAATTTTCCTGGGCCCCTGTGACAATATATTGTATTCATTATAGGTATTCGTCATTAGCTTGCACTCTCTGCAATCTGCCCATACTATTATTTGTCCCTAGACGCGCTTACAGAGAGCAGGGATAAGCCCATACAGTCAACGGCCTGTTAGTTTCGCAAACAGCCGCCAGGGGCGCTAGGGTCGCCTATGTTGTGAGATAGGGCAAACTTCTCTCGCTCGGCGCCGCCTGGGGGTTAAAATTTGCGGGAAAATAACAATGCCACGCCCTTTCCACATGAGTGGGGCACAATAAAATCGATGGAGCACCTTGCATTGCGATTAGTGACACACCCTAATGCATGATGACCTCGAGGTCACGTGACCTGAGGTCAACCTTTGACCTTGACCTTTTGAGGTCAACACATATATCATTCGATGCGGATTGACGAGAGGATCACGATGATGCCCTTAGTTTGTTCCTATCATGTCTAATTCGAAAGTTATTCGAGAAAAACTCTCCATATTTAGTGCCGCCATTTTGACTTTTTCGACCCCTGGGACGTCATCTTTGACCTGACCTGAAAATGACCTTAGTAAAAATTGTAGACCTTGTCCGTGCGTATCCGATGCCGTTTACCGCTTGTCGCTATCTTGCTTCGTTCTCGAGATCTCAGGGGGGGCAGTCATCCGCCCCCCCCCCCGTCGGTACGAAGTTGGCGCAGACCCCCGTCGGTGCGAGTGTTAAAAATGACGGGCAATGTAAATATTACATTTCTATTTTCTACGTTATAACTCAACGATCTCAGAGTGCGTTCTCTTCGATAAGAAGCACTTGTCTCTCATCGTCGTCCGAGTCCAACGCTGCAAAACATCGCTGTATATAACTTCATAAACAAATAAGATTGGCCTTGAATAATTATGCAACTTGGCTGGGCATCCCTGACAGTGACGTGACGGAAGGGCAGGCCACTGGACTGCGTGAAACATTTTGCCCGCGTTGTGTCCACTTTTCTTGTTTCTTGGGCCGCTAAAACTCAGTTCTCACTTCCTCTTTCTGTCTTCTCCTCTCCCGGCATCCGTCCTGTATTCGCGCTATCAGCCGTGGTCCGCTTTTTGCTCTCCGATCATGTGACCGCGGGAAGGACATCCAACCCCGTATCGCCACCTCCCCTCGCGGTACAAAGTGCGGTCATATGACTGCCGGTTTATCGGGCCGAGCGGAGGCTCGCTGGGCACACAGGCGACACAGTGCGCCAGTGGTGTCACCGCGAGCAGGCAGGATGTGGTGTCGCGTGCTGTTGCTGACTGCGCTCTGCGCCTCGCAGGCGCTCGGCTACGGCTACAAGACCTACTGGTACACCACACAGGTAGGCTGGAATCCGCTCTCACTGCTCGCAGAGAACTGGATGGATATAATTATAGACCCCTTGCTGTTTCGCCCGGTCCTAAGCTCCCGTTCCCTGTATGTTATATAACATGACACCAGTATAACGCCTTTTGGGGCGACTAACGGAGCGAGCGAGAGGGTGGGCCTTGCACGTGCGAAATTGCAAGGGGGTACCTCCAACTGACTTGTGCACGGCACCCTTCTAACCGGTCTCTAGCGATGTGCCAAATTTGGGCACAATCGGCCCAGCCGTTCTCGAGATCTGGAAGCGGCACCCTGCACGTGCGCACGTGCAAAATGGGTCCCAACTGACTTGTGCACGGCACCCTACTAACCGGTCCCTAACTGTGTACCAAATTTGAGCGCAATCGGTCGAGCCGTTCTCGATATCTGGAAACGACCCCTGCACGTGCGCACGTGCAACAGCGCCCCAACTCTGACACATGGATATGCAGTGCCTAGTGGGTGCCTACCTACATGCCAACTTTCAGCGCAATCGGCCAAGTAGTTACCGAGATATTGCAACTATTACAAAAGTGACACCTCTTCGTTTTGCACGTGGCACGTGCATAAGGGGTCACCCACATGCATCGAGAACCGTCCAATACTTGGTAGAAGGAATGAAGCTACCCTACAAAAATTACCGCATGTAAATCGGTCAAGTGGTTGCTGAGATATAAGCGTCGCAGAACCGTGACCACGGCCGGCCGGCCGGCCGGCCGGCCGCTCATACTCAGAAATTTCCGTTATTCTACGTAAGACTCCGCTCGCTTCGCTCGCTCCGTAATCATATGTATATGAGGTCACTGAGGTCATTTGAGGTCAACGAAGTTTTCCGTCAACGTTTGCCGCATCGAACGACACTCGACTGGATAACGTCCTCACTTGACGTGATTTGACTTCATTTAGACCGAAAGCCCAAGGCCCGTGGTAACCTTATCTATTTAGTTGAGAAATTTATATAAGTTGACGCAAAAAAACATTCCGAACAGACCGAACACGATGATACCAACATCGTTGTTCAGCGACGTCGAATGACCCATCTACGCTTTGTTTAAAAAAGGTTAAACCGAACGTTGACATAAGGTCAAGGTCAGGGTAAAATGGACAGGTGAGGGCATTGAGTGGTAAATCCGTCGGTAACCCTTGAACTCATTCGACGATGGGGGTCGTTGTCCGTCTCGCACCAAACAAAAGGTGCCGGGTGTGAAGGAACTTGGATAAAGAAATGCATGGGCTATGCATATAGTTGTATTAGAGGTCACCGGTCTGTATAAATTGTCACACTCTTCTCGCTTTTTAAACCCAAACCAGCGATACAAATCCTTCACCCACACGAAGACGGTCTAATCCGAAAGCAACTCTCCAAGTACGAGCAGCAAATGCGAGTGGCTGAGTCGATTTTTGGATAACTTGCCAACAAGTTAACTTCACTTTGGACACAAGATGTGTCCTCATTCATTGCATGCTCCTTTGATAACTTCCCGTTCTCTTTTTCTGTGACGCAGGTGGACCACTTCAGCTTCGCCAACAATGACGTCTTCGAGATGAAGTACCTGGTGAACGACACATGGTGGAACGGCAACGGTGGGCCTATCTTCTTCTACGCCGGCAACGAGGGCGACATCGAGCTCTTCTTGGAGAACACCGTACGTCTCTGGCGACAGTCGTTCAGAGAATGTGACGGGATTTACGTGTTGATTAAGGCGATAAACGTACCTAATAGGCGTAGACGTTACCGCAGCGGCGATATTCCTACATCATGGACAATAAAAAAAGCTTGGTTCTTTTGACTGCCAAAATGACGAACGTCTCACCCAGATCACATTTCACCTTACTTAGGACGTTTTTCTTTACCACATGATGCTTTTTTGAGATCGAATGATGCTCGAATTATAGTGATAATCGAATTGTTTTTTTTTAATAATATTACCATTAATGCTAACAGTGATTTGTTACGGGCCCACTTTACATTTGAAAAAGCTATGCTTTATTCAAATGCATTTACTTTAACAGAAGGTTTATGTAGCAATTAACTGATAGTTAGACACACGAGAAAATAAATGCAAATGCTAGCTATTACATCGATTCTCTCGTGCACACTGTCTGGAATAATGGCCCAAATGTATTTTCCTATCAGCATTGCCGATGGACGAATCGGCTGACAGTCCATCTGCAAGGACCTAAGTGCACTTCAGCGCTGGTATCGATAAGATGAGGATCAGTCTGCGTACACAGAAAGCGCGCATGGTGTGGTCCCGATATGTCAGTGGTAACCATCGACTTAGTATTGAATTTATACCTCAATTCGTAAGATAAAACCAAAATACCTGCATTGTGATTGCAATGCAGGTATCAATCATAATTGATTGATACAGCAATCATAATTGTGATTGCTGTATTACTGCATTTTTTTATTCCCTCAACGGAACGTTAACTCGAATTTTATCAAGGGGCCGTTTCCCTTTTGCACAATCATTTAAAAGTTCATCCTTTTCACCCCCAGTCCCGTATCGCATTCCTTGACAGTGTAACAGACTAACTTTAATCATACTTCGTCTTTTCATAGGGCTTCATGTTCGACATCGCCCCGGAGTTTTCTGCGCTGATCGTGTTCGCCGAGCACCGTTACTACGGCCAGTCGCTGCCGTACCCGAACTCGTCCCTGAGCGACCCGAGCAAGGCCGGCTACCTGACCTCGGAGCAGGCGCTGGCCGACTACGCCGACCTGCTGACGTACATGCGGGCCACGCTGCCGGGCGCTGGGGACAGCCCGGTGATCGCCTTCGGAGGCTCCTACGGCGGCATGCTGGCCGCTTGGTTCCGCGTCAAATACCCGCACGTCGTTCAGGGGTGAGTGCATGTAACGTGCGATGGTCAGACACAGGTTGATTTCTTGCTTTTGCAGTTAATCTTTTATATGCAGCCGTTCAAATTCTTTGACGGTACTCGACAGATGAAACGCGGATATTGTCCAAAAATCATTTTTTTAACCGCGGTGAGAAAATGTTATGATCCATCCCGCCTTTTTTTCAATGTCCTACATGTCTATGTGCATTGTAGGTATGTACATATCTACGTGTCACCAAAATATGCCCTTTACTTACGTAGCTCATTATACCCTATATAATACCACAGCATGGTATTAGGTACTTCGGTGAGGAACTGTAAAAATCGTCCACGTTTACACGTCGTTTATCTCCAGGGCGATCGCGTCTTCGGCCCCGATCCTGCAGTTTACGGACATCACTCCGTGCCAGGCCTTCAGCAAGGTAGTCACCCAGACGTTCGCCAAGGACAGCGAGGAGTGCCCGCGTGTCATCAGGAAGTCCTGGGACGCTATCGACCGGCTCTTCGAGACACGTACGTGTTTGGTATCCGGTGTTTTTGTTATGGGGCAAATAACCAGCAATATTGCGATGGCGGTGGACACATTTGTCATATTCGTGAAAGGGCGTACACAAGTTACTGACCTTTATTGCATTATTGCTTACCGCCCTCTTTCCGTGTCATGCTGGATTATGGATATACATATTATACTTATCTACCAAACGGTACATACAGTTTGACAACTTGGTTTCTAACACAAAAAAAAACGGTGGCAAATTTTAATACGGACGGAAATTTTACCACTTTCATAATATCAGCGACACCGCGACACAAGGCCTGAAATTTCCCGAAAATGAAATAAAATAATCTAAAAGAAAAGAAAGTAAAATAAAATAAAATAGAATAAAATAAAATAAAATAAAATAAAATAAAATAAAATAAAATAAATGTTCAATAAAAATGGTTTTCGCGCCCACAGAGGAGGGTCTGGACTGGCTCAGCTCGGCCTGGAGGCTCTGTAAGCCGCTGAACGGCTCGGAGCTGGCCGACTTCCGTATGTGGCTCTCCGACATGTACAGCAACTACGCCATGATCGACTACCCGTACCCGGCCAACTTCCTCTCGCCGCTGCCCGCATTCCCCGTCAAGGTTGGTAACTAGCGTCCTGCATCCATGCAGCTCGGTATAATATTGAAGTAATGTTCACACAACGGCTGAAGAAGGCAGTATGGCGGCGTTACAGCGGTAGCCTGCGACAGTCACAACTCACCGACAGCCTGTTAGCTTTGAGTATGTACTCTTCACTTTTCCGTTCACCGAGCGTCCAGTTGCGTAACTAGCAGCTGCGTAACCAGCTCTCGTGGGACCAGTCATGTTATAACTGACGGTTGACTTCTCATCCTCATGACTTCCTGCGTTCATATATGTAGGTGGCCTGCTCCTACCTGCACGACGACCACGGCGATGACGACAAGTCGCTGCTGACCAACCTCTACGACATCATCAACCTCTACTTCAACTCGACCGGCGGCGTGGACTGTATCGACTCGTCCAGCCAGGGCACTGACTCACTCGGAGACGACGGATGGTACTTCCAGGTCAGTGAGGTCACCGAGAGCTGAAACAAAGTCGCAAAAAGGGAAACGAAAGGAGCGCCAGGCCTGGGCTGTTTCATTGCCAGCACGTTTATACCCTGAGCTTATAAAAAGAACGTGGTAAAAAGAAGAAGAAAAATCTAAATAAATTTTGATTGTACATAGAAATATCAATTGCGCGTTAGGCAGCCGTATATTAGGCCTACATCCTCGTGCATCGCTAAAGAAAATCGCTTATAATTTTCTGGCAGGCCTGCACGGAGATGATCATGCCCATGTGCAACGACGGCATCAACGACATGTTCTACCCGTCTCCGTGGAATCTCACCGAGTATACGGCCGACTGCAAGCGCAAGTACGGCGCTCCGTCCCGCCCGCTGATGGCCCCGCTCATCTACGGAGGCATCAACCTCACTGCCAGCAGCAACATCGTCTTCGCCAACGGCCTGCTCGACCCGTGGTCTTCGGGCGGAGTGATGCGCTCGCTGTCCGATACACTCGTCTCGGTCATCATTCCCAACGTGAGTCGTGACTCGTGATAGTCGTGCAAGTCGTGTCGTGGTAGTGGTTTTACGTAGTCCCATCTGACACCCTAATCTCGGTCATCATCCCAATGCGAGTCAGTACCTGGTAGTCCTCACTGCTAGTTGTGCTGGTCGTGTTAGCCGTGACCTTTATAAGAAGATAGTGAGGCGTTCGCCTGTTTTCAAACTAGCCAACGCTTTCACAATCACGGGTCCCAAATGAACATGCGTTGTAACAGACCAGTACCTAAATGAAATGCCGTATAAGCAAAGCTAGTTCTTAAACTCACCAATTCTTGACACCAAATCTGACTCCCACCGTGACATTGTCAGGGCGCTCACCACCTGGACCTGCGGGCGTCGGACCCGGCCGACCCTCCCGATGTCATCGAAGCCCGCCGCGTGGAGCGCGACTTCATCGGCGTCTGGATCGCTCAGTACACAAAGACGGCTGACAACAACCAGTTCAACGCCGCCAAACGTCATTGGTAGGCGGTGGCATCGACAGCAGCCAGCCACGGCGCACAGAGTCAGGAGTGCCTGTTCATCAGTTAGAAAAAGACAAAGTGATTGAATGTATGCCATATGAAATTGTCAAATAAATGAAGTCTCGTAATTACGAAGGAGATTATTTGTGCTTTCATAAAAGTTATCTCAATACCTAGTGTGAAGACGGGGATCGATCTTCGATTGAAAAAAAAAATGTGCCTACATTATTTCACTACGAATGGGTATGAGGGAGACACTATTGCGCCGTTCTATTAATCGCTATTCCAGAATTGGAGGATCAAAAGCATGCGATAGCATGCTTTTGCATCCGGAAATTCCCATTGGTGGGTCGCTGAAGAAAAGTTCGGCCAAGCCTGTTTGTCAGTATGTGAGTGAGTATGTGAGTGAGTATGTGAGTGAGTTTGTCCAAGCCTTTTTGGACCTGGAGTCAAAATGGGTGGACCGATCGGGACGAAAGTGGGACCGTTCGACTCGTCTCCGGCGAGGTAAACTTTTGGTACTGGCCTCGGTTCGCTCAGTGCTTCGTGGCACATGCTATTCCGCTTCAAAGTTTCGGTGACACGAAATTTTTTGTCAAGGCTACAGGTCAACCCGAGGTCACGGACAAAGCCACACTGGCGGGACACATCGGTAACACCTTGAACCAGTTTCCAGGGGGGTCACCGTCTGCGAGGGGTGCAGGCTGCACGTGCTGGGGGCGGAAAACCGTTTTGACGTGAGGTCCTCTGGCTCAAAGAAATTTTGAGCTATCAACCTCAAAATCGGTTCAATGGTAGTCTCAGGCAAGGCCTCCAAAATAGTGCACATTTGGTTGAGCTTAACTCTGTAGTGCACGAGCTAGGTACGTGCAAGCCGATTGCACCCCTTCGTGCGTTGCCACGCCTGCAGGGTAAACGGCCGCTCTAACTGGTTCAAAACTTGCAGGTCATAAGAAGAATACATTGAGTCGTAACATTCCGGCGAGATAATATCCCAGGGGTGCAAGCTGCGCGTGCGGGGGGCGGATAACGGTTTTGACTAGGGATCCTCTGATCCCGGGAAACGTCGATCTAGCGACACAAAAGTCGGTACACTGATAGAACTAGACACACGCTAGATGATGTTATGAAAATGACTGCACTGGGGTGCCTGGGACATGAACTATGCACGTGCAGTTAATTCATACCATACTGTAGGAAGATATCCGCACCAATCTCACGTGCTTCGAAGCATTTTTGGGATGTTTCGTTTGGTTTCAGGTTCAGTCCAAGCTCAGTTATACGGCCTTGAAGCTCAGTCTGGGTTTCGGTGGTTTGGCCCGGTGTGTGCCCTCAGTACCGTTCCTCCAATTCTGGCCCAAGGCAACGCAAGAGCGCTGCCGGCATCTAGTTTATATAAGAAGCAGCCTTTAAAACTGTCACAAGGCAACCTTTCCGATTGTGGTAAAGGACAAAGATACCAAATCTAAATATGAGAAATTCCAGGCTCTCAAAATCGGGCAACCGGTCTGGGACTACGGTCTCATGCGCATATAAAGGCGAGCTTCAGCTTCTTGCTAAAGACCCTTCATGTGTTGAATGCCTACCACTTGTTCCACTTATGATTGGTAATGGCTACTCATGTCCCGAAACATCCGATCCGATTAACATCTCGTGACAAAGGCTCACAACAGGCTGGTAAGCTGCATTTTCCTAGCAAGAAGCAGCCTTTAAAACTGTCACAAGGCAACCTTTCCGATTGCATGGTAAAGGACAAAGATACCAAATCTAAATATGAGAAATTCCAGGCTCTCAAAATCGGGCAACCGGTCTGGGACTACGGTCTCATGCGCATATAAAGGCGAGCTTCAGCTTCTTGCTAAAGACCCTTCATGTGTTGAATGCCTACCACTTGTTCCACTTATAATTGGTAATGGCTACTCATGTCCCGAAACATCCGATCCGATTAACATCTCGTGACAAAGGCTCACAACAGGCTGGTAAGCTGCATTTTCCTAGCAAATACCTACAGCTAGTGCCTTAGGTATATGGCTGTTGTTCTACGAAGAAGGTGCCATATTCCAGCTTTATCGTGTATCCGGTCTTTCTGCCGTCGCCCCCTACCGACCACCACTAGCATCACACTTATTTGCCTCTTTGACATCTTCTTTGACGCCCCATCGACCTCGATAAGCTTCTTTTCGAGGTTTATACCGATTGATCCGAGCTGGTTCCCGTTAGTCTCTCAGGACATGAAAGGTAGCGTGCAGGTGCGGTGGCCCTGGCGTGCAGAACACTCGCACCACCCTGCACTAAGCTCAGCTTCGCCACCCTGCCGCTAGGCGAAGCGGCTCATCGAGTGCAGCGTAACTAGAAACCGAATTCGTCGAACCTTGATAAATCTAGTTTAAAGGGACTATCCCACCTTCTAAAATGTTGTTAAAACCAGTTAAATTGTGCCCGACTTTATAGATTGGATGACCAGGAACACGGTTCTGGCATTTATTTTTCATTAAACATCTTAGGCTTCCCATATTCCAAACACAAACTTTCAAATATGTGACGTCACAGCCCAAAATTACCTCCTTCCCCAGGCCACATTACTGTCATAAAGCTGATTCTTTTTACTCTGTAGGCACCACAACAAAGTTCAGACCAAGTTTTAAGCGATTTTTCAACGAACAAACCTATTTAAATCAGAATGACCAAACGAGGTGACGTCACACTAACGGTCGCTCCATGTTGAAGATAGGGCCTTGTACAAGGCCCATTTTCAAATGAAGGGAACGAATTTCTTCAACACCAAGAGGCCGCGGGGGTTGCAACCTAGATAGATAGTGGTTTCTGAACCTCACCGCAAACTTGGCTATCTCAACTCAAACCCCATGTTAAAGGTGGGATAGTCCCTTTAAACACCGATCGATAATATCGATAATACACTTTCATAACGCATCCAGGTCTCGATGGTACTAATAAATTACACATAAAGGCTCATTTGAGTCTGTACTCTGCTGAGTCGAAAGTTCAAAACATGTTCGAGTCCGTCTTAGTCCACCCGCTTCATGCAAGACATGACGCCATTAGTGGACTTACCCCAGACCAGCATATCGTGAGTTGAGTGTTGAAACTACACGATACATATGTACCAGCCGGTTGTTCAGCGTGAGCCAGGGAGCCGTCGTCCAGTCGGTACCTCATCAGGCCGCAGGCAGGTCGTACTCAACTACTCAACCCTCGAAAGTCGCTCCAATGGCGTAGATCAGCTCAAGATCAGCTGAGGTTTGGAGTACTGCGGCCCCGCCTTAGAGGGCCTTGGCCCCGCCCCTCCCGGGCCGTGGCACCAACGGACACCGGGTCCAGTCGCCGAGCTCCGAGAAATTCTTCACTAGTAGGTAAATACCCGATCACATTTTTTTTCATGTATTTATCTAAAAAGATTGAGATAAATAGACGCCAGTCACAGTCAAATAAATTGCAATATAATATTGTTGGCATGCAGGCCACACGCTCACAAGGATAAATAACAGTAAAATGGCCAAACAATCGTCAGTCTTTGGTATTGCAATGCAACAAGCATTGCATTCCAGCTTGTGGCGAAACCGGTGGACAGACTTGCTTTGCACCCCATCGCCAGTAACACCAGCTGGGACGGTGGAGGTGCAGGTCAGACCGGTAACTCGCTTGACAGGCTATCTTACTCAACAACAGTGCGCGCGGGACTGGCAAACGACAACAAACAGCTCGATTGTTGGACAGTTGTAGCCTCTTGCGTTAGCGGGGTCGAACATATCCACCAGCTTGTGTGACCATTGCGCTCGCTGCCCATGGGCAAGCGCGGTTTGTGACAGTTTCGTAGCGTGGCGGACCGCCGCCGGTGGGTCCGTCTTCGATCGTCTCTGGCCGTCACGACCGGCATGTCACGATCCCAACCGTCCTGTCACGACCCTGACTGTCACTCTGACCGTCACCAAATCATCACAACGGCGGCCCGGCGCCTGCTGCTCCGCACCGCCCAGAAGGAATGTTTCGTTATGAGACCCGAGATCACATAATGACCTCACACGTATCACACGCTCAAACAGCAGCCCAAAATAGCTCAAACGCCCCGGGTCATATGACGAACACTCAACTGGCCAGGAACAAGCCTGAGAAGACCTAGAAACAAACAAGACAAAACGGACTAAAAGCCACCCAGAAACCAGCCCAATCGTACCTGAAACGATTATGAGTAAAAACGGAGTGCAATTGTCGGAACGTAAATGCCGGAAGCCAGAGTCCGGTTTCAGATAAAGTCTAGCTAGCTACCCACACATGCTAGCTAGTTGTCCACACACAGCATAGTTAAGCTGCCCGCCGATGCCGTAGTCTAGCTGCTCACACCTTGGCTCGGTTATCACCCGCCTCGCCCTTCGCCCTGCACTGGCCCAGTGCAGCCACCGCAGCGTTCCGTTCTCTTGGAGCAAACCTGGCGACTGCACCTCAGGTGCTTGTGCGTTATCGTCCTAAGCACCAACGTCGCGGCCCACGCGCTCACATAGACATTCGGCACATAACATCACCCAATTTGTGCCCTCACATGGTGAGAATAATAGAACCACAGCACGCCGCGTGTAGGGTGCCCACTGCACACATTCACATTCACACTACCTCCCCTAATGGCCAGAACAGCACCCCAACTGGCCCGCGTATCCGTCCTACTAAGCGACGCTTTGTGCCAGCACGTGCTCGTCACGTCCCGAGTGCGTGACACCGTCACGGGCGTCACTATCTCAAGTCCTCTCGGGCGTGTAGCGCGGCCACTTGCCGGTGACACAGGTGCCGGCGCCGCGCCACCACTCGTTCAGATCCGGAATGGTCTTCTGGTGGCCCTCGTCGTGTAGCATCGCGCACAGCCGGCAGAAGAAGTAGGTGTTGATGAACTCGCCGGTGCCCTTCCACTGGAAGTACGAGTTGTACAGGTGGTCGTCGCGATCGAGCGCGTGCAGGAAGTCGGCCAGCTCCTGGGGTGACTTGAAGTCGTCCACGTGGATGTAGGAGTGCTCCGGAGCGGCCCTCTTGTAGTCGTCGGGGTGAGCGCCCATCACGATCGGCAGCACATTGTGCCTGGCGAAAGAGCAGAGCGTCAGTCGGAACCCGGTTCATGCAGTCCGCCATGTACATACATACCTAAGAAGTAACGCGTCTTGCTGGTTGATATTTGAATGAGCCTTCTATTTCAAGTTGATAGACGGATATGCTATTTCAATAAAGTTACGCAGCACGAAGTGTCGCGTGACTAGCCGCGTGACTCAATTCGTATCTTATCGCGACCGAATTGAGCGAGCACCGCTAATCTGTTCACCATTTCTTCCATTTTGCAAGTGTGACTATCATGCGTGCGTTCATTAATCCTGTGGTTCGGGCTGTTTGAATATTTAATTTTTTCAACAGCTCTAATGAAAGCACGAACCAGCCCCTGCGACAAATGCGAAAGTCAAATATCGGTTCAGAGCTAACAACTAGACCAGAAGTCGTCACACATTTTACATGATGAAACGTGGACCGAATATGCTGTCGGCTTGAGTCGACGGATGGTGCGGCGGTCTGCATAAGTACATAGAGCGCACTATCAGGCCGACCAACGACCGGCAGAAGGCCAAGTGCCCCACAAAGTTCAGAAGCGGACTGCAATGAGACTGAGCTATCTGGACCAAGACAAATGCAGTCCGGCTATAACCGGAACACGTCGCGGCCATAGTCGTATTGCCCGACGCTCAGAAGATGGCTCCCTTATCTTATCCCGGTCTTACATTGACGGTGTTATGCTCTGGTTGCGAGCGTGCCTTGTTCGCCAAATGAGATACGCTCAAGGCGGAACGACTAACGACGTTGCGGACGCAAATAGCCCCGCGCTGCCTGCGGCTCCAGAGCAGATAATGGGCACCGGGATCCCCGCAGATAATCAGGGCCTCAGAGAATTCCGAGGTTCGTCAGTGTCCAAGGAGTCTGCATTGTATTTTCTGAAAATCCCGGGAATGCGAAGATTTAAAGCAAGGAATCTTTCAGAAGACCTTGCTCGCTTTTTCACACACATAAATGATTCGAAAGGGAAGATCGGTGTTATGATCAAGATGAAAAAATAGTGAACTAGAAATTTCGGTAGGTATAAAGGCAAGCGATCACTTTAAATCGAATTAAGAAGTTCAGAACGTCCCGAGTTCTAAAGAAGGCACGACTGTGGCTGGATGACGTTTCAGATCGAAAGGGATGACCAAGTTGCCAGGAGCTTGTTAGCGTTGTCAATGGCCCAAGAGAATGTCGGGGATGGCCAAAATGCTAGACTCCCTGGTCGATAGGGAGAAGAAATCTCCAGGATTTGCCAAAGCCTAATGCCCCGCAAGGAAAGCTAACATTCCGAGTACCTCAAGGGAGCATTGATATTCATTACGGTCGCAGAGACTGTCGAGATCCCAGAGACCTGAGGCTTTGTAAAGGTCTCAGGGATTACAAAGACTGACGACGCTCCTGGGGTACCCAGAGATGCCGCCGGTCGGGCGCCGCCTACCCCCACCCACTCCCAGGAGTGGCTCTCCCGGCCATCGACCGACGTTTGCGTCCCGGTGGCGGCGTTTTGGTCCGGCCGCCCGCGGCCATCGATCAGCATCAAAATGGCCTCTGAGCATAGCAGGAGAGGCAGCAATCAGCTCCGGGATGTCCGGCACGGCTGCCCAGGGGTCCACACGTGCCACAGTCGGGGCGACATTCAGCCGACCGGCGGCTGCCCGACCCGCTCCGGTTCATAACTCAATCATGCATTCGGGTCGTTGAGTACGTGTCCACTGTGCACGTCTGATGAGACAGCTGCTAGGGCGATAGGGCATGGAACTGCGGCCTACGGACGCCACCTGCGACCGTCCGGGGCTCAATGGCTGGAATACGGCCTCTACCGCTGTGTCCGCGGAACAGTTGTCGAACCGTGCTGCCTAGAGACGGCGGTCGATACGGGACCGCTCACACCCATGGACGACGTACCTGCACTCGACAAACACGCCCAGCCTTAGCAAGGGTGCAGTAGGTACCCGAACATGAGTACAAGTAGCTCGAGCTTCCAGCCTTTTGCTTTTGATCTGGATTTTCATGGCTAATACTTCTGGAAGCAGGGTGCATGCATGTCCCTTTTCCGTTTTCTTGGTACACCTATTTAGCAGTTTCCGGCCAGTTCAACCCACCCAACTTGTTTCGTGAGACATCGACTTTGAGCTCTCTTTTATTTTGGGAGACTTCAGACGCTGCACCATCTGCTATTCATGAATATGAACCGGGTAGAAGAGTCGCCAGGGTCCGTGGTCGTTTACAGAATGTTTTACGGACATGGAAAGATGCCAGTACGCCAGAGGGGCTGCTGGATGATCGTGTCGCGGCTAATCGATAGGATTATGGCCCACACGAACACGGAAGGACGCGGTGCGACATTTTCATACAAGCAATCCGCCTGAATTGCGTGACGGAGGGCTGGTCAGCCGACTAAAGCAGAGCTGCGGCGCGGCACCGACTTCCGCCGCACTGCGGAGGATAAATAAAATCTCTGTTCGTTCGGGCACTCTTTCCAATCGCTGAAAGCTTCAAATTTCAAAAGCAATCGTTCAACCACTGAAGGTGGACGAGTATTTATTATCATTAGGTACTTATTTTCTTTTGAAGCTGGCTAGTGAACCCAGTGTACCCAAGGTTCTACCAATAAATAATCTGTGCTCCGGGACTAAAACCTTAACAGCCTAAGCGATACAAGGACATGTAAGCCGAGGCGTTAGTGGATTTCTTATAAATACAGACACACCAGTGTACTACTTACTGCAGTCCATTGACGAAGAACTTCTCGGTGATGTAGTCGCGACAGTTGGAGTTCTCAAAGGCCAGGTAGAACTTATATTCATTGCTGAGCTTCTCGAAGCACTTCTTGCCCATGCTGCGCGGACATTTCTTGGTTCCGCAGCTACCATAGATATCTACCTCGATGTACTTCGCCAGCTCCTTGGCGTATTGAAGGCGCTTGTTGATGGCGCCGCAGTTAGATACAAACCACGCCACCTTCTTGGTCTTCTTGGCTGCATAGTTGATCTCCTGTTTACGAAAGTGAACGCTGTCATCGTAGTACACCCACTTCTCGTAGGGCGCCACGATGTCACTATCGTGTCTGTACGTAGCTGTCCAGTTAAAAAGTGGTTGCACATGCTTGAAGCTGACTGTGTGCATGGGACACTCGAGGAGGTACATGATCCAGGCCTGGCCGGGCCGGCGCTGGCCGTGCGGCCCGTGGAACCGGTCCTTGAACAGCACGGCGTCGGCAGTGTCGATCTGACTGCGCGACGTGGTGAGCTCGCACGTGTTCACCGGACATCCGTTCCGCACGAACTCCTCCTGGCCCGTCTTCAGGCGCGCGCCGAACCCGTCGTACAGCAGGATCTTCTTCAGCTTCCTGGGCGGCCAGGAGGACGAGTCGGCCGGTGGAGGCCGGTACAACAGCTGGTTGACAATCCGGTCACCACCGTCTTCCTCCGGCCAGAGTGCGAGCTCGCGAGGTAATGAGCCCGGACCTGGCTTGCGGCGACCGCCGCTGAAGAACCAGTGCCGGTCCTCTGGCACCAGCAATGTCCCGTCGTCAGCCGAGACGACGTTAGAGCCGGGCTCTCGAAGGGGCGATGCCTTTGGTGCCGCCGCCGCAGACCCCGCCGAAGCTACTGGTCTTGGCACCGGAGGTCCTGTGCCGTTTCTGGAGCCGCTGAGGGAGCGACTTCGCGGGGCCACCGCGCTGGCACCCGTCAGACTGACGGCCCAGGGTGGCTGGTCGCGCTGCTGGAAGCTGAGGAAGTTGATGAAGAAGAGCATGGCGCATATTGCCAGGCCGGCGTAGAGCAGGCCGCGCCGCGCTGACAGGCGCCGCATGATGACACGATGGCACTAGACGTGCGGTGACGTCATGGATGGCAGGCAGGTGACGTCATCGATGGCAGGCAGATGACGTCATCCGAACCTGCGGAGGAGAGGGCGGGTCAGAGCGGGCGACAGGTGGTGCCGTGGCGTGCAGCGGGCCGGCGCGGCGGCACGCTCCGCAGCACACCGCTCGAACGGGAACCACAGGTGACTGGAGAACCGGGGGACGGCGCGTCGCTGGTCTGATGCACCGTCGGCTGGATATTTAGACGGCCCGGGACACAAATGGTGTGGCATCGAAAGTTCCGCACGAAATGATAAGCGAACTTTGTAAAATACATAGTTGCACATTCACAGATGAACCTGCAACTTAAACGGAAGAATGGAAAATGGCGATTTATAATCAGCAAATTAAATTCACTGTTTGTCTGTTGTTGCCTCTACCTTTCCCATGAGGAATGGGTCCGTGTCTGAGTACCTAAATGAAATACGACAGTGATGAGGACCACAGCGACGATAAGTAACGTTGATAACGATAATGGCGACCAATGATCGACGACATGGGGATCACCGTGGGTCGGGTCGGGTCGGGTCACATACAGGGCTGGGTGGAGCCGGTCGTTTTCAGCGACATGATACCAGGATGCCCCCGGGCCCCGACAATTGTCAGAGTCGAACGGTTCTGGCGAGAACAAGGCCCCAATGCGACTATACCATTCATCCCAATGGCTTTACATTAGCCGTTTTCACGACGGTTATTTGATACACATTTGGTCGCATTGCGTGCGATTTGGTCACACGTGGTGCGAAATTAGATTCATTTCAGTTGATTCTTAGTAGTTTTCAGCTTGGGTTGGACTAATAGTTGCTACTTGCTTGCATACCTTATTTGTAAAATTATCAGGCATTGCCTACTTTTAATAAAACATCAAAAATTCATTACATGAAGATATCTGCTACACAAGACAGGTCGCTTTGGTCAAGTTGGTTGCATTCACCAGATAACCCGTCGTGAAAACGGCTGTTATAGCATAGTTACACGTTCCTCCCGCCGTTTCTTTCAGTGCTGGCCAGGAAGGACGAGATGTAATCATTGAAGACATTGTTGTGGTCCAGACAGTGCTGCCTTTCGGTCCGCCCCTCAGAGTGAAGCGAGAAGTGCCAATATACAAACTTCGGATGGGGGCTCCCACTTCGAGTTGGAGCCGGTCCTCGGTACGACGTTTGAACTTTGATCACATATTAAATAAGATATAAAAAGCGAAGCGTAATGCTGAAAGAGAGAGAGAGAGAGAGAGAGAGAGAGAGAGAGAGAGAGAGAGAGAGAGAGAGAGAGAGAGAGAGAGAGAGAGAGAGAGAGAAAGAGAAAGGAGAGAGAGAGAGAGGGAGAGAGAGAGAGAGAGAGAGAGAGAGAGAGAGACCGAGAGACAGAAATATGTACAGAGACAGAGGTAGTGTTTTGTTCCCTTTGCGATGGACCCGATGTTGGGTTCACCGAACCCATGAGGGGGCTGGCCTGTTGGCGATAACGCTCGAGGAATAAAAACTTGCCAACAGTAGCTAGCCTCTGAGGGTGACCCCGTATTGACCCCGCACTGGACTTCTCCCTAGCAACTGAACCTAATTAATTTGTGGTAATGCACCTACCACCATACCGCACGGCAAGGCCGTGCTTGAGTGCATACAGTGCATACCACACAATGCACAGTGCACAGTGCAAACCACTGCACCATGACGGTATCAGCTGTCTGGGAGGTGCAGACGGAGGGGAGGCAGGTGACGGCGGTGACGTATGTTCACCAGGTGACATTGGTGCCGTCACTGCCAGATGGCTGTCAGACTGGCAGCTGCGACAAGGCCGATACGGCGGAGGTTGAGGTGGGATTCGCCACGTGTGAGCCACCAGCATGGTCTGCAGACACATTTGTGTGTGTTGGTTTGTGGCTGGTCTGACTTCTGGGTCTGTGATTGTCTGAAAGCTAGCGGTTTGTCGTTTTGTCTGTCTGTCTGTCTGTCTGTCTGCCAGTCTGTCAGCCGGTCTGTCAGCCGGTCTGTCAGTCTGTCTGTCGGTCAAACGTCTGTCTCATTACCTCTGGTATGCATAGGTACACTGTGCCAACTGTATAAGGTTTCTTGCTAGACTGTGCAATTGTACACAATGCACACATGTGAGAACGCCTATGTAAATATGGGAGACATCAGACAAAATGAGTGTGTGTATCATTTGGCTTATGCCTATGCCTGTTTTTATTTCAGTGCTTTTCATCTGCAACACTGAGTCCGCATGCAAGTCTTGCTATGGTGGATGCCCTCGCGCTTATGATTGAATAATATAATTATTGAATGGTGTGAAACGTTTTTTTGAGCATGATTATGATTATAATGGAAATCAGATGGATTAGTAACCTTTTGCTCATAACTAATGTAAGCCAAAAAAGAAGGTCCAGCACCGAAAATATATTTTGGATTTGTTTTAGGCTTACATTAGTTATGAGCAAAAGGTTACTAATCCATCTGATTTCCATTATAATAATATAATTGACTTAGAATTAATTGAGAACTTTATGCCTACATACTTACATATAATATTATTAATATAACATGACATAAATATGATTATATTCTGGGGACACAAACTGCAAGAATCAATCATTTAACTATACGAATAGAAGGAGCTTACGAGATAGTCATATCGCTATGAATAGAACCATCTACTAAGAACAGAAGAGATCGATTAATGATTATCTTTCCAATAAGGAGCGTTCCTTCCTATTACTGCTTCTCGGGCACCCTCGCGCTAGAATGCGCGTGTCATCTGATCGACCTATCTCCTAGCACTCCTATCCGGGACCCCGAGCACCCATCGCTCCTCGAGCACTCATTCCCCCGGAGCACCCCTAGCAGTGCCGAGACTATCACCGGCCGTGATAGGGCGGAAGGAGGGCCGGGCGGGGTCGGGAGCGGGCAGCACACCCCGTCGAGACGGATGAACGCCCGATGAGCCCGCGCAGCCACTGAAGTGCCGGTATCCGTCATGGGTCGGCAGAGACGGCACCATGGCGCCGCGCCGAAGACTGGCGCAGACGAGCCGTATTCGGCGCATCGACTGCCGCGGCACATCGGGAGAGACGGGCGGCTACAAAGGAATCTTGGGCGGCTAATGCAGCTCTGATGTCGGGGAAAATGCCCAGCGGGCGTCCCTCCATACGCGGAGATAAAAGCGGTAGTCGTTGTCACTTGTCAGCTTATCTGGTACACACCAGTGCCAACCAGACACTCTAACGTGATGGAGAATAGTGAATACATTACATATAATGATATAAGGAGACGTCTGATTGACTTGTGTTTCTCCGGGAATCAACTCACCCGGCAGACAGGAATGTCAGCCATGCACCCGTCTAATCGACAACACGTCATGAACCCCTGGGCTTCCCCGCGCTGTTTCAGAGGAGGATAAGGAACCATGGTTAGGCTCGTCTTACTTTGTGGGCCATGGTTCCATGTACGGGGAGAGACAGAACGGATGCCTGCCCTACAAGTCCGGTTGCGCGGATGGCACTACACTTCGAGGAAAGAGTACCTTCCTTCTGGTTACCATGCACTCAAAGATCGAGTGCACCCATGTGTGTGCAGAGACGTGAAGGGGATTTATGTCATATGTGGCATATATCCTAGCACTCAGACTTTTCCCGCAGTCAGCCAGAGCCAGACACAATCGTCAGAAGAGTGGACTGTTACCAGAGCTGAGCTTGCCACTCGGGTCTCTATTGGCGACCCCTTGTCGCCTATAGGCAGCTCTATAGGCTGGGTCGCCTAGGCAGCTAGCTCAAGTGCCGCATGGCGCCATATGGCTGACTGTATATGTGTCTTCCGTCGGCCCCGACGACACCTGGTCGACCAGCTGAGACGAGAGGTGCCATTAGGGACAGCAGCCACATCCGGTGAGTCTGATCCCGAGTGGCGCAAATGGGCGTCATAAATCCAACGACAAATCTCGGGAAAATATTAACCTCATTCGGCACTGGAAATAGTTCGGGCTGTCCATTTTAACAGGCTCGGGATGCATTATGCAAGGTTATCTACGGTGTGCGAAAACAAAGTTAGCTAGACCCACTTAAATAAAAATAGCACAACAACAATAAGCATAAAAATTAACATGTTTATGCATTATACATACAAACTTATATTATGCAATTATGTATGAATAAGTACCTATATAAGGCCCTAAGCATGCATAAAAAGATAATATGGATAAAGCATGTTTGCCTAAGGTGCGTCAGAAAAGAGGAAAACCAATTAGAATTTAAATCCTTGCTTTAGAGCTTATTTCATTATTTCTATGATGAAGAAGTTGTGGAACAAAATCCACCTCAATTTGCACTAATGAGAACCGCAAACGTGATCAACAACATGAATACACAATGCAAATTTAATGACATTCTCCTCATTATGCTCAAGGAGGATACGGACAGCACACAGCCGCAGCTCTTGCCGAGCTGTGGGCCAGGAGCCAGGCCAGTCGGCTCGGTTGGTGCCCGCTCACGAATCGGTGAGGTCATTTGATATGCGCCACGACCCCCTCTCCCGGGCCGGTCGGTCGTCGGCACGTACTGGCTGCAGTGGGGCGGGACGGGGGCATGCGCAATCTCCCTGCAGCACGACAGTGGGAGTATAGAGCGCCCTTCACCGACGGTTGGGACACGAAGTCGTCTCCCGAACGATCGTACACAGCACCGAACTCATAACAGTTGGGAAACGGAGCACTCTCCCAGTATAAGCACTTCCCCCCCCCCCTATACAGGCATTATCCATGTGTATAATCACTCTAACATGTATAAACACTCCCATATGTAAGCAATCTATCAAATAATCGGGGTAGAGTCGACTGGCGTCTGTCTATAGGTAACAGTGCGGACAGGGACGGATGCAGAAAAGAGGGCATTTCTATCTTTTAATAGCTTCTAAGTTAGGAGCCCTAACCTTGAAAGCCTGCACCCACTTTGGACATTGTCCTTTGCCGATGCAAAGGTCATTTAAGAATAATAAGCAGGCACGTACCCAGGATTTCGCCCAGGAGGGGGCCACCTGCTTTCGAAGGGG